GGGTCAAGTGCCAATTACAAATGGAAAGTAAGGAACTACATTAATCTCCTGCCAAGGGAACAGTCGAGTCTACGATTCGAACGAAGGTCTGCGCGAAAAATCCTGTGATCCCTTAAGAAAATTACACAAGAAGGGAGGGAGGCATTATACCCTTGAGCTGGGATCCCATAACAAAATTGTATTTCCAAATCATATTGTAAGGGAGATAGCATTATACACTTTAAAGCTGCCTTCCGGATCTCGTGTCCAAGTCCAATGATCGATGAGGTTATTTGGTTGGAAATCTGCCAAAATATGAGATACCTGGAATCCCTTAAAGGATTTCATTATCCGACCAAAGATTTTAACAAAGGTAGCCAAACTTAGTATTACTCAATTGGGTGAGACTTATATCCACGACGAAGAGGTCAAAGGTTCAAATTCTTATACTCCAATGTTGTTGAGCTCTAAAAGGGGGAGAAATAAAAAGATATTTCCAAAAGTACGTTGAAGAGCCGAAGCTTACGGCCACTTTCATTCTTGAGTAAATAAGGTCTTTGTGCTAGAGAGTATTTTTGCTATAGCCTCTTGGAGAATGAAGAGAAAGTGCCTGATCTCTTGCTAAACTGGAAGATCATCTCCCAATGTCATTAGTTCAATCATTTACCCTGCAATTATTGAACTCAAAATAGAAAATTTTTATACCATTTAAGATGTTATAAATAGTGCATGGATTTGTATGTCCTTTTTAAGATAAAGATAGGTTCTTAATGGGGTAATAAAGACAGCTTTCTCGATGGGTAATTTATGGAGAAGGGGGCATTGTGTAGAGTTTTAGGATTCTATGAAGATGCTTGATATTTAGTCTATTCTGAGTGCGACCGTCAAGATGCAGTAAAAGTGCATAAACGTAGTAAGTTCGTGAGTTAATGTCGAGATTGATTTAACTATATTTCTGGGATAACTCCTCTTTCCAATCCCCGACTCTCTCTCATTTACGGAAGCATTACTCTTCTAATTTCTATTTGCTTGATTTGCAATTGAGGGGCTCGATTGAACTTGTTTTTGTTGGGTTGGATTTTTGTGCTTTCATCAGTCATAAAGCTTTTAAGTAGGATTTCATTTATGACATAGACTCGGGTTCTGAAACACTCCTTTTCTTGTTCATCTAAAGGTGATTATAAAAATGAAGGTTCCTCATTTGTTGCTCTTTGACTGGGTTTCTCTGGGAAAACTAAATGAGCAAGTAACTACTTAACTCTTGATGTATGGTGATTTTGTTGTTGAATTGTCAGATAAATTTATATTCATTTTGAGAAGCAAATGAGTCAATTTTCATTGAGAATTTACAAAAGAAAGGAATGAAGGTCTCAACTCCAAGCCTTCTAAAGTATGATAATGATAGGAATGTATTAGGGTGTTATTAGGATATTAAGAGTTGGAATTTATTTATCAACAAAGACACTGAACCAAGGGAAGAATTGTAGAGCTTCTTCTCTCTCTATCCCAAGTTACAAAACTCTCTCTAACAAGATACACTAGCAAAATCATACCCTTTCGAACCCGTCCTTATAGTAAGTATCCATCTCTCACTACAACCCATTCTAACTAACTAATAGCAACATAATTCCCCATGCTCCTTCCTCATGTGCCTATGTTTATACACATGCTTAATTGGGGTTTATCACTACTCGACCCCCAAAAAGCCACCTTATCCTCGAGGTGAAATTCAGAAAATCGAATGGAAATTTGAGTAACATCTTCCCAAGTAGCATTAGTGACATCAAATCCCTCCCATTGAAGCAACACTTCCAGCTTTCATGCATCTCCAGGAGCTTGTCTCAACCCCAAAAGTTCGATGAGTTGCACATGAATTAACAACTCTGGCAAGAGATTACGTAGTAGAAGCAATTTGAACATAGTTCAATTAATTAACACATCGTCTTTGACCAAAAAGTAAGACATTCTAATTTCTATCCAGTTAGGCCTCCTATTACTAGTACTGTTAGGAATCACGAACCTCTATGATGGTACGATATTGTCCACTTTGAGCATAAACTCTCATGGTTTTGCTTTGGACTTCTCCAAAAGGCCTCATACCAATGGAGATAGTATTTCTCACTTATAAACCCATGATCTTCCACTAAATTAGCCAATGCGGGACTTCCTCCCAACACTCCTCAACAAGTACTTATGTCAGAACTCAGAAGGAATAAAGATGGGATGAGTGGGGAAGGTTGACTTAATTAGCAATCCTATATTGTTGTGCTTCTTGTCAGTTGGGTTGTTTTTATTTTTATTTGGGCTTTGTTATTATGGACCTTATTTGTCTTGTTGTTATTATGGACATTTGTGGGCATTTGGTTTTCACTAATGATTTACTATAAGGGGATATTTTTTATGTACTGGTTATAGTTGATTCAAGGGCATAGAAGAGGAGATAAAGATGGAGATGGTAGCGTGCCTCGGAAGAAGAATACAACACAGATGTATGGATTTGGGTCTAATGATGAGTCAGGCACTCAAATTCCAACCCAAGTCCAATCCATTGTGGAAGGATCAGGGTCAGTTATGGTGTCTGAGTTCAAACCAGTTCCTGATGTTGATTATCTACAGGTGAGTGTTGCGGGATCTCATTTTTTTCTTTTTCTTTTTAATGGTTATGAAACTAGTAACAACTTTAGTCCTACTCCTGTCCTTCATCGAAAAGGAAAAAGAAAAAACGAACAAGCTCACAAAATGTCCTCACCTACTTATAAGAACGGGCTTCAATCCGAAAAGCCCCGACAATGAAACAAATCTTTGGGTAACCTTTTATTAAAAGCTTAAACCATGGCATGACAATGAGCAGTAAGTGAGCCTAGTCTTTGCTCAGTCTTTGCCAGGCCTAGTCTTTGCCTTCTTCAGTGGCCAAGTTTCAGCGTTCAAGGTTGAGCTTCTTCAATTCAAGTAGTGTCTTTTTCCTATTCTTATTGGTAAATAGCATCTGAAAGCAAAGACATTATTGAACGAAAGAGATGCCGGGTCGGTCAATTGCATTAGGTAGGAGATGCAGGACCTGTCTTAACCGCAAGTGCATTCGCTATTCGGTTCCATCCTCCGTCCCACCCTATTAAACTTCCCAAGGTTCTCTCTCTTTGACTTTTTAGTGAAAAAAAGGGGGTGACAATTGGTAGACTTAAATTTCTATGTCGCCGTCTCATCAATGAGCGTAGATTGTTAGAGATGGCTTTTGTGCTGGTCAATCTGTATCCCATTCTTCAAGTATAGTTTTGTTTGATCACAGATGGGCGGGTGATCCATGCTTTCAGCCACAGCTCTTAGTTAGCCACAGCCCACAATTTCTCGATTATAGTGCTTGGTGTGAAGTTGAGCTCCTTCCAAATTACAATGTTTTTTTACTTTTGCAGGAGTTATTGGCTATTCAACAACAAGGTCCAAGAGCCATTGGTTTCTTTGGAACTCGAAATATGGGTTTCTTGCATCAAGAACTCATTGAGATTCTTAGCTATGCAATGGTTATAACGGTAGAATATGTGATTTAATGTGATGCGTTATACAGAGGGCTATTCTTTGTTTGATGACTGCATAACTTCACATTACTTGGTATCATCGTCTGTGTGCAGAAGAATCACATCTATACTTCAGGAGCATCTGGAACCAATGCAGCAGTTATCAGAGGTGCTTTGAGGGCTGAGAAACCAGAACTTCTTACTGTCATTTTGCCACAAAGTTTGAAAAAACAACCCCCTGAGAGCCAGGAATTATTATCCAAAGTAAGTTTGATTGCCTATAAAAATCTTTACTTTACTTATTTATGTGAGAGATATCAATAGAACAGTGTTTGTTCTTGTCATCGTCTCTTTGGGCTTTCTTTTTCGGGTTTCCCTTCAAGATTTTTTAAAATGCGTTTGTTAGGGAAAGGTTTCCACATCCTTATGAAGGGTGTTTCCGTTCTCATTTCCAACAAATGTGGGATTCTCACAATTCAGCCCCCCTTCGGGGTTTCCACATCCTTATGAAGGGTGTTTTGTTCTCATCTCCAACCAATGTGGGATTCTCACAATCCACCCTCCTTCGGGGCCCAACGTCCTTACTGGCACACCGTCTCGTGTCTACCCCCTTCGGGGAACAGCCTCCTCGCTAGCACATCGTCCGGTGTCTAACTCTAATACCATTTGTAATGGTCTAAGCCCACCATTAGTAGACATTGTCCTTTTTGGGCTTTCCCATTCGTGCTTCCCCTAAAGGTTTTTTTAGAACGCGTCTTCTAGGGCAAGGTTTCCACACTCTTATAAAAGGTGTTTCGTTCTCCTCCCCAACCAATGTGAGATTCTCACCGTTCAATTGGATGTCATTTTATTGAATTCTTTATCTATTTTGATTGTGTTGAAATTTGTAGGTTAAGAACGTGATAGAGAAGCCCTACAACGATCACCTACCTTTAATAGAAGCTAGCAGGTATGCTTTTTTCTCTGTTGACTTATTTACATTTAATGATTTTTAATTATATTTTGTTGATAAAAAAAAGGTATTAGTTAATCAATAATCAAATTTGACTTTGATGTACCATGGTCAATTATTTTTATACTTACATCTTTTTTTTTTCTTTTTTTTTTCTTTTGTTCAATTACAAGTTAGTGTGAAATAGGCATTTAAACTTTAAAAAGCTTTTGACGGGTCATTAAGTTTTCAATTTTGTGTCTAACAAGTACCTAGACTTTAAAACGTCTCACAAGTCCCTAAACTTTAATTGTGTCCAATATTATCTTGACCTATTCGACGTTAAAACCCTTCGGGACATAAAGTTCTATTATGGGTTGTTTCATGAATTTGAGATCATAATTTGAGTGTAGCTTGTCGAAGTATCATTGCATCATGTAACAGAAGTCTTAAGGTTACCTTTGCTTGCAGGTTATGTAATATGGACATTATTTCTCATGTACAGCAAGTCATTTGCTTTGCATTTCATGATAGTAGGTTGCTCATGGATACTTGCCAAGAGGCAAAAAATCTTCGAAAAATCGTTACACTTTTTTATCTCGACTAAGTTCCTTGCTTATAATTCTGTAAATACATTGTTTAACAGAGCTTATTGCATATTCTGCCTAATTTTGCTTGTAAAGTTGTTATTACAACTAAAACTTTCAAAAGAGAAAAACAACCAAAACAATTGGGAATCAGAACTATAAGAAATTTTCAGTCAAAAATAAGGATATGAATTGGCGCAACAAGGAAGAAAACAAAACTAGCGTTCATTAGAAGAATGAAGAACACAAAACTGTTGCTGTACGTATGAAACGAACCCCGAAAAAAAGCTCACCGATTTGCCTTCGCAACTCTCTCAACCTCGTCCTTTTTCTTGATAGCGTAACTGTTAGATGAACCCTTTGCTGCATTAATAAGTTCATCAGCCAAGCATTCTGCAATTGTCTTGATATTTCTAAAGGCAGCTTCACGAGCACCAGTTGTAAGAAGATATATTGCTTGGTTAACGGGTCGCAGAGGGGATATATCCACAGCTTGACGCCTAACAACACCGGCTGAACCGATTCGAGTAGCGTCTTCACGTGGTCCACTGTTAACAACGGCATCAACAATAACTTGAATTGATCCACTGTTAACAACGGCATCAACAATAACTTGAATTGGGTTGAGATCAGTTAGAAGATGAATTATGTCCATTGCATGCTTAATAATCCTTTTACAGCCATGAGTTTCTTCCCATTGTTTCTACCGTGCATCATAAGTGAATTTGTGAGCCTCTCCACAATTGGGCACTGAGCTTTTCGAAAACGCTTGACAGAGTACCTCCCAGCAGTGTGGGGGACATAGGTAGAGCATGCTTGGAAGGAGCAACCCCGATGTAATCAACTAGAGACATGTCGTTCACATGGATATCATCGAAGCTCCACTGGTTGAACAGCTTCACATCGTTATGTGTCTGGCTCAATTCTTGGTTTGCCACTTCAACTTCAACAGCCATTGTTCCTGAATAACATCAAACACAAAAGAAGTGAGCGCCGATTGATTGGATTCCTAATCTGTAAAAATCCATATTGGTTGGAGAGGAGAACAAACACCCTTTATAAGGGTGTGGAAACCTTTCCCTAGCAGACGCGTTTTAAAGCCATGAAGGAAAGCCTGAAAGGAAAAGCTAGGGGCCTAAGCCGTTACAAAATGGTATGAGAGTCAGGCACTGGACGATGTGCCAGCGAGGAGGTTGTTCCCCGAAGGGGGATAGACACAAGGGCCTAAGCTTTTACACATGGTATGAGAGTTAGGCACCGGGCGATGTGCCAGCGAGGAGGTTGTTCCCCTTCCCCAGAGGAGAATATACACAAAGCGGTGTGCCAGGAAGGAGAACGAAACATCCTATAGTAGCATGAGCGTTTTAAAGCCTTGGTAGCCCGAAAGGGAAAGCCCAAAGAGAAGAATATCTGCTATCGGTGGGCTGGGCATGTCTAAATTATATGCTCATAAATTCCTTCTCTCCACTAAGATCAATTCAAAACGACATTTTCCCTCCAAAAATACAGCCAATATCAGGAATTCAAATAAAGAGTTCCACAAGATCAATTCAAAAATTAGATAATAGGAAGGATGATCAAGGAGTCTATAATCCAAATTTCTTCTCAAATTGAAATCATAAGACAAGGTTGCGCTATAAAAGTTGTTCTTCCAATTCCAAAACCAAATATCCTGGACTCATCACTTGAGAGTTGAAACTAACTACAATCCTAACAGAACTCATTTTCAAAGACAACTAAGAAAGGAGAACTGAGATGAACAAGAGTAATAGAAACACAACAGATCTAGTATTTCAATCCAAGACATAAAGTACGTAAAGTTTCACCAATTCCAGCAAATCTATGGAACAACAAAACTCGAAAACCTCACCAGTTACTTCCAACAAAACTAAATCTCAAGTCGACTTCGGAATAAGCATACACAATGCTGAAGAACTCCAAACAAAAAAAAAACAAGTATAGGCATTACAGAACGAAAAGTATGAACGCCAAGGTGATATACCGATCGGGCGACAAAGGAGAGAAGCGGCTAATGTGAAAGGATAAACAAAGGGCGTGGAGGAAAGAAGAAACCCTAAAAACATACATATATATTTATTTTAAAAACCGGTTCGGTTTATTTATTTATTTATTATTTATTATTATTATTATTTTTTTATCTTCTTTTGATTGGTGTAGTTTTATTTTTGGGAGTAATTATTTATTGATACCATAACTTATTTAAATAGAAATTCCTTTTTATTAGGTATCATAATATTAATTTTTAGTTGATGTAATTTTCTTAATCAGTTGTTATTTTTTTAATATCAATGAATTGTTTGAATAAAAAATATTATTATAAAATAAAATTAAGAAAAATTACATTTTGGTATATGAAATTAAGATAAGGTAGCATGTCACAACTGATCTTTCAAGCCACGCTTTATATGGTACCTATTCCATCCTCGATCAACTCCTTGTCACCTGAAAAATATGAGAGAACTTAGAATGAATATAAAATCTCAATAAGTAGTCTACTTAGGCTCTTAATCGTGTTCATGGTCAATGCTAGGGTACCACACTCATTTATTATCATGTTCTTGTTCTTGTTCTTATTCTTGTTCTGAGAACTTGCATCCTTAAGTTTTGTTCTTGAGTTCTAAATTCTTATCATGGTTCTTGGTTCGAGGACCTTGGCCTGAAGTTCTCTTAAACATGGTTATGATCTAAGGATTTTGGTGCTGGGTCATAGTTTTGAGAATTTGGATCTGGATTCTTGTTTTAGTTTCTTATCCTTGGTTCTTGGTTCTTGTCCTTGTTCGTAGTTCTTATTCTTGTTATTATTTTGTTCCCTAATACACTCTCCTAAGATTTATGGTACAAGACATGAACCTGACAACCTATGTCCAAGGCTTCACGCGTTCCAAGCGACACAATCGGAAAATCTACGTCCAAAGCTTCATGTCCTCCAAGCTACTAGTCTAAACTTGCATCTAGGGCTTCATGTTTTTTCTGCGATGCAGTCTAAAATCTACATTCAAACTTTCTTATGTTCCATGTCGTATAGTCTAAAACTTACGCCCAAGATTTCTTGCGTTCCAAGTGATTTAGTCTGAAAAACCTATGCACAAGGCTTCTTATGTTTTAAGTGACATAATTTAAATACCTATGCCCAAAGCTTCATATGTTCCAAGCGGTGTAGTCTAAAACCTGTATCTAAGGCTTCTTACATTTCAAGTGATGTAGTCTGAAAATCTACATCTAAGGCTTCCCACATTCCAAGTGATATAACCTGAGTGATTAACACGTTGTACCGTGGGAGGTCTAGGGGTTTTTTATTTTTGAATTTGAGGACCTTGGTTCTTTTTCCTAAGTTTTCCTAAGTACACTTGTCTATCCACTTGATGAGCAAGTTGTCGATTTAATCCACCAAGGAATCTATCCAAAGTACGCTTGTCTATCCATTTGATGAGCAAGTTGTCGGTTTAATCCACCAAGGAATCTATCCAAAGTACGTTTGTCTATCCACTTGATGAGCAAGTTGACTGCAAGATGTAACAATTCTTGCATATCAAAGTACGTTTGTCTATCCACTTGATGAGTAAGTTGTCGGTTTAATCCACCAAGGAATCTAGCCATTTTATCCTCCTCGTCTTCATCATTGCATGCTCTATTCATAAGGGTCTCCATTTGATATGAACCACGACCAAGGAATTTTCATACCTCAAAGCCCAATTACAAGGAAGAGAGCCAAAAAGCTACAACAAATCTTGTACACTTATATTCAAGCTATGGTGAGCTCATCAAAGGAAATTTTAGAAGACATTGGAGACCTCCCTTATATTTTGTACAAAGTTGAGCTTCAAACCTTGTACACTTATATTCAAGCTATGGTGAGCTCATCAAAGGAAATTTTAGAAGACATTGGAGACCTCCCTTATATTTTGTACAAAGTTGAGCTTCAAGAAAGAGATGTATTAAATACACTTTAAGTTGCATTTAATGAACTCAGCTAAATTTTGTGGAACTAATCCAAGGATGACTAATAAGCACATTTCATTCATTGCACTATCTAATTATAATTTAAATATTTGTTTGTCATATTTAAACTAGTTTTTAATAAAGGACCATATTCCACCATTAACTCGCGATTTTAATATGGAGGTTATGAGTATTTCTCATTTACTAGCTAATTTAATTTGGGAGTTATGTGTCACATGATAAGGTATAAAATCTTCTTTTCTTTCATTAGAGACATTACATCTTGGAATTAAAAAGAATAGAATTTCTATTTTTTAGCTTTGTTGAGAGCTAAAATTTTCTTTGCAAATTATTGTGTTTAGAACTTGCATGCTAGAGTCATTCAAGTGGTATTGATCAAACCTCTTGTGGAGTGATTTGAATCATGAGTTTAGAGACGAGTTTTCTTTACTTTTGATCTTGATCATCAAGGCAATCTGTTTCATACTTTCTCTTGGGTTGATTCCATATCATTTGGTATCAGAGCTTTAGGCTCAAGATTGGATATATGTTTCCTTGCGTCTATCTCTTTTGATCCTTAGCTGTATATATATTTTTTTCAGTTTGTGTAGCATGTTCACATTCTGTCTAATAAAGTATATAGCAAAAAAAAAACATTATTTATGTGTTTTAATTCATGTTGACATATTTTATAAAGTGTTAGATCTAGATCTTATCAACAATTTTCTGGTTGGTAAAGTAATTGAATTTTGCCAACAGAGTTACCGAAGAAGAAAAAAAGAAAGAAAGAAAGAAAGCTAGCTCATTGATGTTAAATGTCTTTTTTTTTCTCTCTCTGGATTATTGTATGTAACTCTCATAAGTTACTACATCTTAATTAATCCTTATTCATTTTCTTTCTTTAAATTCGTTTCTTTGTCTTTATTCGGATTGCTCCTTTAATACCCTTATTTATGTGTTGAGTGTGCTTTCTATTCACTTTGAATTGCACTTAGCTCTATAACATAGCTTGTCTCACATCCCAATTTTGTTTGGAGTGTGATTTGTGTGTGTTCAATTGTGAAGGTGAGTCTGTAAGGGAGTGATACATTGATTCGAGTGTTTAGGGTTAAATACGAGTGAACTACA